AAAAAAAAAAAAAAAAAAGGATGACTCTTAGATGAATCGGAGGAAAGTACTTTGGTGGAAGGAGGAGCTGGGTGCCTCGCAAACCCTGCAGCCCAAGGTGCCTGTAGGACCCACCAGGTGAGGTCCAAGAGCCAGGAGCAAGGCCCATGGTGGATGCAGGAGAGGCGCGGCTGGGCAGAGAAGAGTACAGCTGCCCCCACTGTGCCCAGTTGGAGAGGTGGGAGTGGCTGCTGTTGGCTGAGGAGGGTGTTGGACAGCAGGCTGGTGATGGGGCTGGGGCTGTGAGGCGGGGCTCTCACCCCTGAGGAAGCAGAAGGCCAGGGAAGAGCTGAGGCATGCACCACCCTCCCTGTGTGCAAAGTGCCAGGGGTGCTGCTCTCCACTCCCGGCTCTTCTAGGGGTTCAGGCTGGCTCAGGGCCCAAGGCGACCTGCAGGTCTCATCTGAAGTTGCCCCTCAGCCCCCAGAACAAGGGACATGAACACCAGAGAGTCATTCCCGGGCGGGCACCGCCAGTTCCCACTCAGCTCTAGGAGGTGTCCTGGGCACAGGTCCCTCTCCCAGGCCCCTTTCGGGGGACCTTCGCCCTCATACTCCGCCGGGAGGCCTGTGCCCTTGTCTGGTCCTCCGGCTGCTCTTTAGGGAGAACCCAGCTGGGGATGCAGGGTTGCCTGCCTGGGCAGGTGGGAAAGGGAGCCCTGAAGGGGCTCAGCCAGCACAGGGGGCCTGGGGCAGCCTCCTTCAGGGCTGGGCAGGAGGGGTAGGAAGTTGAGCAGAAAGAGGAAATCAGGGACCCCTGGCCAAGGTCAGGGCCTTGGCACCAAGCCAATCCATGACCGTTAGCTTTGTGTTCCCAGAGCGATGAATGACATTGGGGACTATGTGGGCTCCAACCTGGAGATATCCTGGCTGCCCAACCTGGACGGCCTAATGGAGGGCTACGCCCGCAACTTCCGGCCTGGCATTGGAGGTGAGGCAGGGACGGTACCACCCTGGCTGCAGTGGGTATGGGCCCTGCTGGGCTCTGGACTTGTGAAAACGGGGTCCCTGGGCCTGGGTGGCATGTGGGCACCAGGCTCCCTGCACAGCCGCTAGCGCTGTGCACCCCCGCCAGCCTCAGCATCTCCTGCCTGCTGTTTCTCACAGGGCCTCCCGTGAACGTGGCACTGGCCCTGGAGGTGGCCAGCATCGACCACATCTCAGAGGCGAACATGGTAGGTGCTCTGTATCCGTGCCCTGCGCCCCATGGGCGGGAGGGCGTGCTGACCAGTGCCCTCCGCAGGAGTACACCATGACCGTGTTCCTGCACCAGAGCTGGAGGGACAGCAGGCTGTCCTACAACCACACCAACGAGACCCTGGGGCTGGACAGCCGCTTCGTGGACAAGCTCTGGCTCCCTGACACTTTCATCGTGAACGCCAAGTCGGCCTGGTTCCATGACGTGACGGTGGAGAACAAGCTGATCCGGCTGCAGCCTGACGGCATCATCCTGTACAGCATTCGGTGAGCTGAGGGCGGGCGCTGGGGCGATCCGGGCATCCTCCAGGCCTGCAGCTCCAGAGTTGCCAGCTGGAAGCTAGCAGATTGGCTTTGGGGCCAACATGGTACCTTTTCATTTCTTTTTGTGCCTTTTTGAGAAAGTTTTGGTTTTATTTGATGTTTTTGTCTTTTGTTGGTGTATTTTGTGCACCCAGGACTGTGCCCTGAGCTCTGTTTTAATTTTATTTATTCTGTTTGGTACTGGATATCGAATTTAGGACCTTGCACTTGTGAGGCAGGTGGTGGCACCACTGAGCTAAATTCCCGGGCCAGATCTATTTTATTTTGAGACTGGGTCTTGCTAAGTTGCCTATCCTGGGCTCAAACTTTCAATCCTCCTGCCTCAGCCTCCCAGCATGCTGGGGTTATAGGTGCGCACCATCATGCCCAGCTTCCTTTTTGGTTTTAGGTGGACTTAAATCTACACACTTTAAGTTAGCCATTTTAAAGTGAAGAGGTCAGGGGTGTTTAGTAAATGCATCATGCTGTGTGATTGTCACTGTATTTATTCCTGAACGTCTCACTGCCCTGTACCCATAAAGCAGTCACTCTTACTTCCCCATCCTCGAAGTCCCTGGCAACCACGATTTGTTGTCTGTTGCCCTGGGTTCGCCTGTTCTGAGCCTGCCCTGTAGGTGGGTGGGGCCCATGGGCTTTTTGTGCCTGGCCTCTCTTGGAACATCAGGCCTCTTGTGGCTGTCAACTGTCCCCTGGCCGGGCGAGGGGGAGCTGGTCCCTGTCCCGAGAGCCTCAGTGTAGGCAAATAGTCCAGAACTGTCAAGGATGAAGAGCACGAGTCCGTCCTCATAGCCCTGGAGCAGGAATCACAAACATTACCAGCTTTATGTTCACTGCTGGGTGTTGAAGCCCAGGTATCAGTTTGCAACCAGATGCTGGGTGATTTGCAAACAGAGCCTGAGTCGGCTGGACTCCGGGTGGCATTGGCGAGCGGGAGCTCCTCTGGGGGTGCTTCTGGGGCTCCTGGAGGAAGGCAGCCGGGCCTCATGGCACCCCATCTGTGCAGAATCACCTCCACGGTGGCCTGTGACATGGACCTGGCCAAGTACCCCATGGATGAGCAGGAGTGCATGCTGGACCTAGAGAGCTGTGAGTGGGCTCCAGATCTCGGGTACCCTGGGCTGGGTCAAGATGGAGATCCCCACGATGGCTGCCCACTCTGGCTGCCCTCTGTCCTCGTCCACCTGCCCCAAGGTGTGGGGAATTTGGGGATCTGCTCTGTCCCTGCCAGGTGCCCCATGGATGGGCTGTCCTGCTAGGGCTGCAGGGCTGGGCCCCACAGCCCCTACTCCTGTGGCTCTCTGCAGATGGTTACTCTTCTGAGGACATCGTCTACTACTGGTCTGAGAACCAGGAGCAGATCCATGGGCTGGACAGGCTGCAGCTGGCCCAGTTCACCATCACCAGCTACCGCTTCACCACGGAGCTGATGAACTTCAAGTCAGGTAGCTGGGCCACCTCTCCACTGTGGCTCCCTCATGCTTTCTAACTGTACCACTGCCTGGTTTGAGGCCGAGGACACAGACGGCAGCCCTGAGGCAGACGCTACTGGCTGCCCAGGTGGCGCAGACTAGGCCTAGGGACACTGTGCTGTGATGTGGCAAGTCTCACCCTCTTATTTCTCAGCCCTTTGTCTTGCTTGGCGAGGGTGGGTGGGGGGACTTGAAGGTGTGTTCTGGGGTCCTCCCACCCCAGGACTGCAAGGCTCTGGGCCAGGCTTCCTTAACCCCCATGGCCCCCCACAGCGTGGCTGTGCACAAGGAGGGGTGCTGGGTTTGAGGGTCTCCTTGTGTGCCTCACCGTGGTCTAGTGCTGGCCATAGCCCCTCTCTCTGTGGGCTGATGTGGCTGTCCCCACAGCGGGCCAGTTCCCCAGGCTCAGCCTGCACTTCCACCTGCGGAGGAACCGGGGCGTCTACATCATCCAGTCCTACATGCCCTCTGTACTGCTGGTCGCCATGTCCTGGGTCTCCTTCTGGATTAGTCAGGCAGCAGTGCCTGCCAGGGTGTCTCTAGGTATAGCGGGGCTCCCTTCTCTCCCAGGGGCTGCTGGGAGGGCCATGCGGAGAGCAGGACTCCCCAGCCAGCTCTGGGTCTGGGCCATCTGTCCCAGCAGTGGCATTGGGCAGGGTGGGGGGCATCCTGGGACCCGGGCCCGCTGAACGGGATGCAGAGACAGTGAGCTCTAGTGAAGGCCCACCAGCGGCGCCCCTGTTCCCAGGCATCACCACCGTGCTGACGATGACCACGCTGATGGTCAGCGCCCGCTCCTCCCTCCCACGGGCCTCGGCCATTAAGGCGCTGGACGTGTACTTCTGGATCTGCTACGTCTTCGTGTTTGCGGCACTGGTGGAGTATGCCTTTGCCCACTTCAATGCTGACTACAGGAAGAAGCGCAAGGCAATGAAGGCCACAGCCATGAAGCCTCGGGCAGAGGTGAGAGGCGGGTGGGCTCGGAGGCATTGAAGTGCCAGGCGGGGCCTCCTGGACCCCCTGCCTAGCCTGTTGCGTCCACAGAGTGTGGAGCAGAGTGGGCAGAGCTGCTGGGCCCTGGCAGCCACGGCAGCTGGCGCTCAGCCCTGTCCCCACCCCGTGCAGATGGACGTGCGGAACGCCATCGTCCTCTTCTCCCTCTCTGCTGCTGGGGTCACCCAGGAGCTGGCTGTCTCCCACCGCCAGTGTCGTGCCCCTGGGAACCTCATGGGCTCCTACAGGTCGGTGGAGGTGGAGACGGGGGAGGTGAGGAAGGAGGGGGCCCCAGGGGCCCGCGGGGGCCTCCGAGGCCGGCTCAAGCCCATTGACGCGGACACCATCGATATCTACGCCCGAGCTGTATTCCCCGCGGCTTTCGCAGCCGTCAACATCATCTACTGGGCGGCCTATGCCTTGTGAGGTGGGGGGTGGTCCAGATGTGGCCAGGGGGAGGATGCACCTTGGGTCTGCTTCAAGGTCACGTGTGCCAGGAAGCCTGCACCTGAGCTTCACACCAGCCCTCCCTGCAAGAGTAGCCCGTGCCCCTGCAGACCCAGCAGCCTCCACGTTGGGTAGAGCTGCCAACCCAGCCAGGCAGGCACAGCTGTCCCTTGGAGCTGTGAATTTTTAGACTCAGACCATCCTGGTTTCCAGGCCTTTGCTTTGTGGGATCAGAGAGCAGACAGTGGGGGTGCCGGCCTCTGTTGAGGGCCCTCGCGGGAGAACAGATCTGCAGGCTCTTTGGTCTCTGCATGAAATAAAGCCTTGACCTGGCTGCCGGTCTCGGTCTCTGTCACTGCTACCGTGTCTGGCTGTGGCACCCCGTCCCTCCGTGGGATCGAGGGGATGGAATGTGGGAGAGTCTGGGATGATGCACACCTGACCCCAGAGCTGAGGGACCCTTGGAACCCTGAGGCTGGGAACAGACTCCAGGTCAGGGAAACTCAGGGGCTTCGACCTGGGAGATGAGCTGTGTGGCCATGTTCAGGGCACAGGTGCAGGGAGTCACCACCCTGGGGGCCTCACAGTGCCTTCTTGGAAGGTAGGGATCACTGAGGGCCACATAATCAACCCCAGTTCCTTCCCACCAGCTGCCACCACTGCCAAGCACTCAGGGTGATAACACTGCAGCCCAAGGATCCTGCAGCCATTAGAACAGTGACAGCAGCTCTTGATAAAGGGTCCAGCTTTTCCAGGAGGCTGGGTCCTGCCACACAGGAGAAAGGAAGGGTACATTTAGCAGGACTGCTGTTCACCCAGGTCTGCTGCAGGGCCAGGCCAGCTTATGAGGGGGCATGGTGGCCCAGGCCTTGGGGTGGGCATTTCTACAGGGTTGCAGGGCCACCTGCTTTCCAAAGGACAGAGGAGGGCATCAGCCCTGCTGCCCAGACCACAGCCCAGTGCTCACTACTCCAGCTCAAAGACCCCTCCTTGAGCCAGGCTGTCAGCAGGCCCTGCCAAAGGATGAGGCTGTGAGGTGTGGGGTGGCCAGGAGCTTTACAGACAGCCAGCAGAGAGCAGGTGGCTGGGCAGCCATGGAGCGGATCTAGGTCATCTGGGCTCCCAGGCCACCTCCTGACTGCAGGCGGGTGTAGCTGGCTTGAGAAGCACAGGACAGAGACTCCAGGGCAGGGTCCCCTCCCCACGTGGCACCTCTGCTTAGTAGGCTCCCCTGCAGGGTGGCTGTATCCTGTCTCCATGGACCCTAAGACTTGTCCAGGGATGGGGGGACCTACACCCCAGAAGCACATATGAGCCACTGAGCTAGGCCCCAAGGATGGCCATGGCCACCTCTACCCCAGGGGCATTAGGGTGCTGCCCTCAGGAAGGCAAGCAGGGTCCAAGTGGCTCTGGGCCTTTGGGAAGGGAGGCCAAAGACAAGTCCACGGAGCATCAGTCCACCTGGACCCAGAGGCCCTGGAAGGTTGCGCCTCCAACACCAAGCTCGGCCTGGTCCAGTGAGGCCCCTGCCAGCCTCCTCGCCACCCGCAGCTGCCCTCTTTCTGACATGCGTACCCACGGGGAGCTATTTAAAGCCAGCCTTTGAGAAAGCCTTGGGCTCCCACGCAGCCAGGCCCACCCGGGCAGCAGCAATCACTCCCTGCAGACTGCAGGCTGCTATTTCCGCCCACGAGTTTACAGGGCCAGGAGGGGAGTGGCGCAGCCAGAGGCTGCTCAAACACGACTTCTCTTCTGGCAGTGATGACGGGCGCCAACCCAAGGCTGGGGTGGACCAAAGTCTACACTGGAGAGGGGCTGGCAGAGCCAGGCAGAGGCACCTCGTTTCAGCAGGACGGGCTTTGGGGCTTGTCGGCTTCCTCTCTCTGCTCAGGTGGAATGTGTGCCAGGAACAGGGACCTCTGCTGCTCTGGGAGCGGGGCCCAGCCTCTCGGCAAGGGCAGGACAAGCTGACCTTGCCCTTCCTCTTGGTGAGGCAGGTGGCCGTGTGCCACATGAGGCCACACAGAAGAGCCCCCAAAGTAGAGCCCCAAAGATGGTGCAGGGAGGCTCTTTGAGGGTGTGGGATCAGTTTTCTGGGGCTGCAATAACAAAGCAGCACAAATGGAGGCTTTTGGGCAGTAGAAATCCACTGTGCTCAGTCTGGAGGCCACGGGGCAAGGTCCAGGCGTGGGCAGGGCTGCTCCTTCCCAGGCTCCTCTCTGGCTTCTGCTCACGTGGCAGCGTCTCTGTTCCTCCTGCTCGGACATGGGTGCTGGCCCCTGGGTCTAGGGACGACTGCCTCAGTCTGGCCCCATCTTAACAAGCACATTATTTCCAAATAAAGTGTCCCGAGATTCAAGATGGGCATGCATCCCGGGGGGGCACTGTTTGATAGTTTGGGGGTCTCCCCAGAGGCAGAAGCCATGGAGCAAGGACAGACAAGAGAGGGACAGCTGGGGACGTCTGCATAACCCGGGCCCTGAGTCCCCATCCCACCCTGCTTCTATCCAGCACCCCGCGTGGCCGAGGACTGCCCTGTAGCTGAGCAGATGCCCCTGGTGCCAGTCTCCCTCTGTTGCTGTCCCTCCCAGATGCGGCCTGATGGGCACCCGGCTCCCTCCTGCTCCCCACACTGCTTACATCTGCTCAGGCGCCACATTTAGTTTGTCCTGACTGGCTCTTCAAGGTGGTGGCTGTCATAGCAACAGCAGCCACAAAAAGAGGCAGTGCAGGGCTGTGGGGGCCAAGCCAGGCTGTCCCCATGGCTGCAGATGACCTGTAGCACAAGGACAGATTCTTTATCTCCTGCCTGGCCAGTACTCCTGTGGGCTTGGGTACCTCTGCTGCAGTGTCTGGAGTTCCCTGGGCCCTAGACTGCTCCCCAGGCCCATGAGCGCCTCACTTGCCTCCACCCTGTCCAGCTGCTGGGGGCCCTGGAATGAGCCGCCTCTTTCCAGGTTCCTTTCTCCCATGGGGCTTCTTACACCACAGGCCGGGGGACAGTGAGTGCTGGCCCAGGGGCCTGGGGTCAGGATCACAGCCCTGCTGGATGGACATGGGGCAGCAGTCCATTTGTCACTTGGTCTCTGCAGCCACTATCTACAAATGGGCAATGTGCCACTTTGGGCTCCTGGTATCACTGGCAACTTGGACCCTGTATCCAGAAGCCCTCCAGCCTGTGGGTCCTTCTGCCAGGCACAGGCACTCTACTAAATGGCAGCAGACAAAGGCTCTGGGTGCCGCAGGGCCCTTCTCCCACAAGATCAAGCCACTCTTCACCCAAAGCTGGGTTTGAGATGTAGCTCAGATCTGGGAAGGAGGAGGAATCAGTTTTCTGTTGTGGCTGTGACCTTGGCCCTCTCCTGGGCTCAGCTGTCTCTGGTTGTGCAGGATAAGGACCCCACACCCTTGCTGGCACTCGTCTGTCCCACCTGGGCCCACAGCATCCCAAGAGACACCCCCCCCCATCACAGCACCCTCTGTCCCTGCCTCCTGTCACTTAAGGCAGCCTCCTAGCCCTGCCAGCACAGTCTGCAGTCTTCTCAGCAATGCCGATGGCCTCTCACTGCCACTTTTCCTGTCTTCTGGGCCCTTCTGTGTTAAATCTTTGGTCACCATGACTGCTGTGCTCGGTAAACTCTCTCCCTGCCAACACCCCCCAGACCACCCCACTCCGGCCTGGTTCCCACTGGGAGGCAGAGCAGGGGCAGCTGGTCCTGTGTGTCCCAAGCAAGCCTCACCTCTTGGTCCAGGAGAAAAGCCAGGGCAGGTTTTGAAGAGCACACGTGTCCCCTAAGCAGGGTCCCCCAAAAGATCCCAAGCCCTGGCCTTGGTTCCTGCAGAGGGCACTTTGCCTGGAAGTGGAGACTTTGCAGATCAGAGTTAAGTCGACGCCACTGGGATTAGAATGAGCCCTGGCATCTATAAGGAAAGACACGGGATGGGGTGGAGATGGCACATGTCCCATCACACAGGGCACACAGTGCCAAAACTCACTGGCAAAATGCATGGGAGCCACCTGTCTACACCCAGATCGCAGACCTCAGGTCCCACCGTCCGGACAGCTGTGGCAGCAGCCACCTGTGGGAGTGGGTTTTTTTTTTTATTTCCTAGGACCATCCTGGGCTGGGTTGGAGGGGCACAGGGTCTCCAGGGAAGTTCCCCTGGTGACTCCAGCTTCAGGGACCTGTCGTCCAGGCCTACACGTCCTTTTGGGCCCGACTTTCAGCACTGCCTACTCCCTGAGGCAGAAGCCAGGATTCCCAGCGCTGCCCTGGAGGACTCTGTCACTCGCCCCAGGCCCTGTTGGCTCCAGATTTAGCCTCTGTGATAGTGCTGCAGCCTAACTGTCCCCACATGTGCTGCCAGTGGGGTCCCACATTGGCACCACGCTGGTGAGACCCACAGCCCACCCTGAGTCTGCTTTTCAGGCTACTTCAGGACCCATGGGCCTAGTGTGTGCGACCCCCACAAGCAGACTCTGAAGGAGAAAGTGATCTCAGCAGTAGGAAGGAGATGGGCAGGCAGGCCAGTGAGGGCCCAGGCAGCAGCTGTGTCTGCACCAGCTCAGCGCTGTCCCGGGACAGTGGGCCTGCATGGGTGTGCCAGTGTCACCTGCCAGTCAGGGGGATTGGAAATGCCAGCTCCTGCCTTCCAGCCACCCTGCACCGGGATAGAGAAAGTTGTGAGGCAGGGCAGCAGCAGGCTGCGGGTGTCTGGAGCACACTGCCTATGCCTGGCACTATCCACCTAGCTGCTCTGAGCCAGAGAGAGGCGGCCCAGGGCACCGAAAGCTTCTACAGCCATTGCAATAAAGGTGCTGTGTGGCAGGACTCGAGCATGCGTCTCTCCCCAGAGGTAACACAGCTGCCAGGTACAAGTCAGCAGCCAGCCTGGTGTGGGCCCTCGCTGCTCACTTCCACACACTGGCCAGCTGAGGGCAGCCCAGGCCCCTGTTCTAGGAGGCCAGGTCTAGCCTGCCCCAGGGCCCATCGTGGCTGAGGGAGGAGCCCAGTGCAACCCACAGCCAGTGCCTGCACATCCTTCAGCTTTCCCTGGCTCTCCTCAAGGATGTCTGCAGGTACACAGCTCAGACTGCTCAGGCGGCCCTCATCACCTAACTCTAGGGTGGCACTATCAGGGCATCCCTGTTACTCCTTGAAGGACTGGGGGCCAGGATGGCCGGAAGGTGTCCACACACTTGTGCTGTAAACAGTGAAATCTGCCTCCCACAGTGCGTGAGGCTGAGGCAGGCAAACCGCACCCTCACCTCATCCCTGGTCTCTATGGTAGGTGCCGTGGGGACGCCCAGGCAGTCACTGG